ATCGGATGCGTAGAGGGTGATGGGAACCGACCACTTTGGCTCTTTTATGCGGTTTCAGCTGAGAAATTTAGTTTCCCAAATAAGCCTGTAGGGTAGGAGCACTTGGGTGGCTGGGATGATTACCTCCTGCAAAAAAGCTAATTTTCAGCCATGTGCTCTTGAGATACAGTGCTCAGCTCTCACTTCCAAAAATGATTTTAAGTAGGCAAGCCCATCTGTGCGGGTGCGGGAGCAAAGGCTGACGAAAACTCCTTTTCATGGCCAGCTGAGACGCAATCAGTCCGTGAAGGGATCGGACTTGAGATCAGCTCTTTTAATGCAACGTTTGGAGGGTCTGACGATTGTTGTGTCGCTGCATCTGAGTGAGGGTTGTCGGCAGTTCATGTACGTATAGGTGGCATTGAGCTCAGGCATGTCTCTGAAAACATCGCGCAAAGCATAGTCATCCTAACCCAGCGAGAACCACATCTTCCCTGAACACAGCATAGATATGAGCTGTGACATCGGCTGCGTCTTGGTCTTGGAGGACGATCCAGTAGACAATGGAACGGATTTGGCTTTTGTAAGTCAGGGCTGAATAGTAATTACTTCGAGCGCATGCTTACCCTGCTAGCAGAAGTTTCTAACTCATTCCACAGTCAAAAAATCCCGATTCAAAGTTTATAAAATTCAATAGAAAAAGAGTCAAAAATAAATTTCGGTCCATGTTCCAAGTGTTANATCGGCTGCGTCTTGGTCTTGGAGGACGATCCAGTAGACAATGGAACGGATTTGGCTTTTGTAAGTCAGGGCTGAATAGTAACGACTTCGAGCGCATGCTCACCCTGCTAGCAGAAGTTTCTAGCTCATTCCACAGTCAAAAAATCCCGATTAAAAGTTTATAAAATTCATTAGAAAAAGAGTCAAAAATAAATTCCGGTCCATGTTCCAAGTGTTAGGCTGATGCAAAGTTGTAGTCTTTCGCATCAGCCCAACACTTGAAACCCATCCCTACCAAACCCTAGGGGGTACTTCAGACTTAAGTTTCATCTGAAACCCGCTTAGGATTTCCGCTGACGGCTGTGACTTCTGAAGGTAGCTCTGCAGGATGAAACATCGCACATCATGCCACCATTAGTTGTGCCATCAAACCATAGCAATAGTATTATTAATGGTTCATGTTCCGTTGGGGATTAGATCAGCCTCTTCATTGAAAATGGTATGTTCAGATGGCCTCAATATGGAAAACGAGGAATTCAGAACAGCTCCACTGCCCCACAGGGATCCGCCTACTTACGAGTTACTCCCTCCAACTAGAGATAGTCTCGAATTGTTTGTACTTGTATTGTAAGCGAACAGCTCTTGAGAAACGCCGGAAGCTTACCCCCGTATAGACTGAGTTTGAGAGCTGTGCTCGGTAGACTCAAGAAGGAGATAGGTTCGAGATTCACTCTATACTTCCTTCAAAGAGTAACCATCGGTTACTTCTATCATTATAATCCCTGGCTCTGTTCTGTAGTATCACAGAATAACTGTGCACATTCTTAATGGTCTTGTTATGAATCACAATCTAATATTCCGAAATTCTTCTTTCATGACACACGAAAAGCGTCAATCATCATGCTACACGAAAAGTTATATTTTGACTCGCTTCAGCTTGTTTTTCTTTGTCTAGTATATAAGCCCACCGTACAAGAACAGGGTGGTGTTCTCCCCATCTGTATGTCAGCATCGATACAATAAAGTTTCGACAAAGTTTCGTCTTCAAAACAGGCTCCATAGCAGGCTAGACATCTCCTATCAACTAGAAGAGCACTTGTCTATGGTTAGCAAGCAATGTTTGCAAATATGTATTCCGGATTGGTTTTTTGAGTCATGCTACTCAGAAACTACTGCAACATCCGAACGAAATCCCCGAATCGAGAAAATCGATCAACAAGGAAGGGCAAATATTCGGATCATTGTAATCGCTTTCAAAACTGGTTTTCGGGGAACGTTCGTGAGGAGATTACCGAACCAACACAGTAATGCAACAGTAGCGATGATCAGCAAAAGTCGGCAAACGAGAGAATCTCCAAAAAAACGCCACCGACCGACGGGGAACCGTGGAGAACGAAAGCAGTTGGACAGCAGTTTGCAGATTAGTACTGTTTGACAAGATAGGAGTGGCAAGAAAGCGAAAAGGAGAAATTGGACGTATTGCTTCGACTGTGCATTGAAAGCTGCTCTGAAGGCAGTCTGAGAGTCTTGCACATTTGACAGTTTCCACTGATGAATGGCATAACTAGGTACCAGTGCGTATCACACTGTATCCTAAACTTTGCGTAGGATAGCATGGCACTAGTCCACTCTGTGGGACCACTCGACCCTCTATGGGACCTCTTTTTTTGCTCTAATACACTGATTAGCTGTTTTTTACATATCCTTGCTAGACGGTGCCTCTCCCAGAATCTCACAACATAGCCGGAACAGGAATCTGGACAACTTTTAATTTGAATGTGTCGCTATCAAAGGAGCTGTTCTTTTGGAAGCATTTCGCTATATATAGGTTTATACTTCATAGCTCACCTTATATTTCTCCGAGCGGAGTCTGTTAGCTGCAAGCTCTTGAATTGTCGGTCTTCTTTTGTAGTTCCCTGTCTGATCAGACTCGTCCCGATAAAATTCCAAATCAGGTGGATGATCGACACCGGTATTCCTACGTTCCAGACTAAAAGAGGAAAAAGAGAATCGAATCAAACGGATTACACAAAAGATTTGGGCTTACTGTGGTGGTGGTGGGGCCGGTGCAACACTAGCCATTGCGAGATAAAAGTTGCTCTCCTAAATAAAACATAAAATGGACAACAGTACTTCCCGTGATAGTAAATGCTGAATAACGATAAAAAACGGTAATAG